ACTAACTACCCACCAAAAAAATAAAAACAGAAAACAATATAAGAAGCCAAAGATTGCTCAATCAATTCAACCATCCCTAAAAATTCCTCTAAGCCGCTTTTACATTTTCCTCTTTTTTTTTCTACATCTTCTTTTTTATTCAGTAATAAATTGGTAGATTTAGTGCACTTCGGGATATCTCTTTCGTTCTTTAAGAAAACCGGCGACAATAGATTAAGTATCGTAAAATCTTTGAGAGAATTAAAAGAGCTTCGAGTGGTTTCTTCGGTTTAGGAAATAATGTCACAGCACGAGTGTAGTTTCTTTATGTCGGACGCTCCCGCTGCGCGCATTTAGGGGAGAACTTTGTTCCAAGCACATTTTTCCTATTGTAGGTAGTCCAGACTCTGTGAAATTCTTGTAATTTGTAATAACAACAACAACATCGACAGAGAAAAAAAATACGTCTTTTTCAAATTGCTTTCATTTGAGTAATAGAGAAGAAAGAAAAAAAGAGATAATAATGAACATGGTGACTTCCTTCACGACGTGAATTTTTCAGTAGAAATATGTGCAAAAATGTATCTGCTTTTTTTTTATAGTAAAAATGAAAGCTGCTTTAATATTGAATACCTTAAGTATATTGTTATTAAATTAGTAATTAAAATTACATTTTTTAATTTTATTTCGTACGTAAATAATAAAATTAAGAAATTTATATCTATTGATAATGGTATTAGCATACTGGTGCTATTTACCGAATTCGAGTGGCAAGCTTCCAAATTTGGTATTGGAATTGTCTGAGAAGAGGTGATGATTCTGATATCGAGGAAAGCAAGTTGCGTTGATTGCCGATGGAGAAAAAGGTGAATTAATTTGGGTTATCTTAATTTATCCGGTGGATGTACACACTACACTCACTGGAGATGGAGAAGGCTGGAGCCCGCTGATTTCTCAATTATCTGAACGCTATCTCGAGGAGAGAGGACCGAAAAAAACGCAACGACCGAAAACAAAGCATAAAAAATGAAACAGAGAAAACAAGAGTCTCTTTCGTAAGTGGAAAAAGGTCCTGGCTCGTAAACCTATCACGACGTTTATTCCTTTATCGCCGGAATTATTATTCGGAGAGCCCTCAGTACTTTACGGCCGTCTCCGATTCCTTATCTTCGACCGGAGATATTCGGTCACCTAACTACAACAGCAGAAGAGAGGAGAGACAACATCAACTTGATGAAGAGTGGAGAAGAGAAGAGAAGAGCGGAACGGTCGGCACCTCTTCGTCACATTCTCGCCTCCGCATTCAGACGCAATTGGAGCCATAAAATCTGCGTAAAATCAGGCGACAAACGGCACGGATTGTCCACGATTTTCACGCCCTCAAACCATGGGAAATCGCGCGCTGTATAAAGTAGGAAATGTTTTCTCGTTTCATCGCTCCGTAAAATATCGACCGGAAGAAGTTTTAACGAACGAATCGAAGAGCACTCGAAACGAAGAAAAAAAAATAACACACTCGCTAACGAATTCGTCGCTGCTTCTGCTGCGATAAACAAATATTTACCTTCCACCTTTTACGAAACGGTTACATAAGCAGTCCCGTAATTAGCTGACACGTTTAGGTGTGCTAGTGTTAATTAATAGGTGAGATCAGAATGTGCTATGCTTCTCGAATTAGCGACTTATCATCCTCAACTGAACTACACTACATTCACAGTTACACAATGCATTCATTTCCTAACTTACACTAACTAAATACATGCATTTACACAATTCACAGTAAAACAAGAGCTTTAATCAAACTAGTTTAGCATCTTTAGAATCAGATATGTAATAATTGTATATTTGTTGATTCAAAAAAGTAACTTATTGAATATCATAATTATTTTACATAAGTATCGTATATCATATATAAACTTATAATAATTTATAGTTTCTAATAACATTTATTACCTGTACACTAAAAATTATTGGTTTTTAAGTAAAATATTTAAATTTGACGATCGTGCAATTTCTCAATACGTAATAAATTTCAGACAATTTTATATGTTTCAACAGAAAGCTATAATAACTTAAGACATAAGCTATATTAATTTATTCTTTATCATATTAACACTACTATTTCATTGAAATTTCATATTTAAATAAAATATATAAATTTGAAGTTCATAAACTTTGATATTTTTTTTTAAAATAATTTATTACATAATTATATAAAATCATTAATGATTTTAAAGTAAAATATATGAGTCACATTTGTTGTTAATTAGATTTTAATTAATTAATTTATATTGGATTGTTTAATTATTAAGAAATATATTAATTGAAAACCAATTTTTAATTAAATTATGAACATTTTATATTAGACTTATTTCTAATTATTGTATTCTTTCCAAAATTTAATGTAATTACTCATAATCTAATGTTCATTTTTTTTTGTCAATTTATAAACTATTATTCAAATGAAACATTCAATTAAACTCAATACAAATGTGATTAATTGCTAGTTGAGAGCTCATGATTTGCTCGAGACGGCGACATCTTTCTCGTTCGTTCGTTCGCATCGAAGAAACCCTTCTTCTTTGAACGATGTTTATTACCTCCGATTATACATCTCTCCTCATCTGGAGCGAATTCCCCCGCGTGCAAAAATGAATTGCCCGCCGTCGAATTAATTAAGAAAGGAACGCGCGTTGGGTCGGCGACGTGTAAATCGTCTAATTAAGAAGTGAAATTCCTCGGCCTGCAGCCGCATTTAATATTCATCAATTAGCGGGCGTCCAGATATGCGTTTATTCCTTTTCTTTTTATTTCATTTCATTTCATTTAATTCCTCAGCCGTCGTTGTTTCTTCTACTTCTCCATCAAGAGAAAACAACAAACAAATAGAAGCATAAAAATAAAAGCTTCGTGGGGGTAATTCAAGTGAATTAATCAAGACGTCTTTCGATGCTCTTCCATTTTCGTGTTTCCACCATTTCTCAAAGAAGTGGAAGAAGAAGGGCATCAAAGTAATAATAACAATAACGAGGCGCGTCATTACAAGCATCTGGTTAAAATATAAAATACCTATCATGGGACACAGCACACTTTACACATACACACACAAAGCATATGAGAGAGAATTCCTTAAGAAACCTGCTCTCGCAGCATTCCACCTTTTTTATATATATACACACATACACACACACTAAACATTTATTCTGTTTTCCTTTTACTTCTTTCTTTTTATTATTTCATCTTCCCTTCTCTCTGATTCCCGTTGTTATTGTTGTTGTTGCCGTTGTTCTTCACCATCTCTTCATCTCTCTCACTTCTTACGGCCGCTCCTCTTATTTTCCTTCTTTAATGTGTTAATTTACATCCCGAATTTATCTGTTTATTCAGGCACCTGACCAAGCCAAACTAATATTTATATTTTCAGAATTACAACTTACTCCTCCGCAGCTCTTCCTACGCCCGTTGCGTAATTCCAGCCTTTCCTCGTCCTTTCCTTCTACATCTTTCAATTATGTAAATCGAGCAGGTTCAACGAATCTCCCCTGCAGAGATTCCTCCTTCTTCAACTCCCAGAAAACACAAAATTTAAAATGATTATTATTATTTTCACGTAACTAAAGTAAATATTTGAAATCTTGACCCATGGATTAATTTTATAATAATTTCGATAATGTATTTGTTTTCTAATTCAAGTTTGCAAGAAGTCATTAAATGAAAGCTCGTTCACTTTCAGCTCGTTTTCTGCGCCCCGGTCTGCGAATACTTGGACATAATTAATGCAATTTATCACCGCACATGGGATTATGGCATTGCTTCATTAAGATTACGCGATTAGTGCGCTTAAATAGACGTTTTCGTTAATTAAGCGTTGGCATAATCCCATAATCGATTCGATTGAAACGAAAGTAATGAAAGCGGAATTAGGGCGTTTCATACAACATTAGAAGATTTTTTATTCTTAATCGTTTCAATGAAAATTTTCATATAAATTTAGTCGAAACTAATTGAATTTGTATGTCTAATTTGTTTTTTAATGTATATTATTAAAATAAAAGAAATAATGAAATTTTATTTGAATTATAACTATAATTTTGAAAATTTAAAAATTAAGTATTTGTGTTTAAAACTATTTTGTTATTTGAATACTGTTACTTTGTTTAACTGTAGTAATAATGTATTTTTATGTAGATATTTAATGTAGTGTGAAAATGTGTTTAGCTCTTGCGTGATGACTAAATCGAACGTGAATTGATGTGTTTTTTTTTCTGAGAGACCAAAAAAAAAGTAAAGCTGAATGGATGCATTTGTGGATGAGACTATTTGTAAACCAAATACACTGGCGCCTCCACATTTATCGCAGACCGAAAGCTATTTTAGAGTCTCCTTCGAAATCCGGTATTGTTGGTGCGATTCGAGAGATGGAAGAAGTATAAATGTAACGAAAAAAAAAAGAGGCGATAATTAGGTGAAGAATAGAGTCCAGTTTCTGGGAAAGAAGCCTGGTAGCAACTGATGATGATCATCATAGAAGGTAGAGAGTATTTGGGCTGCGTGTTTGCGTTCGCATCCTCCTAATTGCTTCCTTAATCTTCGACAGGGCTTAGAGTCAACATTGAGGAGAGTAGAAAACAAAAAGAAGAAGAAGCTGGAGAAGAGCATCATCGATTTCGGTGGAGCGAAATTGGAGGTTTGCAGCAGTGGAAAATAGAATGCAAGAGCCAGAGCTATGCAGCATCATCATGGACACACGCACCGAGAGATGAAGGAGTCTGGATGCGGATTGGGCGTGTGCAGGAGTGAGAGGAGGCGGCGTTGTGCAACGAGGATCGAAGAGGGTAAGAGTGGGAGAGAGATGGAAAGGGAGAAAGAAAGAAAGAAGGTCGGATGGTGGAAGGCGGCTGAAGGAGTGGAGGAAGAGGGTTTTCCGTCCTTCGCGGCACACGGTCTCTGTCTCGTGGAATGGTTTTTAGGCCCCTCCCCGAGCTCTCCTCTCCTCCTCAGCACACAGTTGTTAGTTGAGTTGTAAGGTCTGGCTGTCAACTGTTCTCTTGCCTCTAGTTAGTTCTCCTTAGTCCGCATAGCCTCGTGTGTCGCACTTTACCCCATTAAGCAACAAAACATGCGTCCGCTGCCGCACACGTAACAATTAGCAAATGTCATCGCGATCAGCGCAAGAACTCTCAAGAAGAAAAAGTCGAGGAAGGAAGAAGGAGACGTTAAAGAAGAAGTACTTATCGCTCTTCGTACTTACCACTCAAACGCAACCCCTAAGTTGATTGCAAGGATCCAATTGTAATTGCAATCCTTTCAACAACAAACAAAAAAAAAACATTTCTCCAATACGATCTGCAAAACAGAGGACAACCTTTTGAGCTGCAAGGATAAACGGTGGTAATCGTCCACCTTCAAAGGGTTGTTGATTGTTTAGTATTTTTTTATTTGTTGAAACGAGCAGAGAAAGAGCGCGCGCGCGCTTCTTCGCCGCGATGAAAAGCGATTTCGCCGGATGCGGAAGTGGGTGATGTGTGATCACAGTCGTTCGTTTTGCAAATAGTTGTGTGTTTGTTGTTCAGTTGTTGTTGTTATTGTTGTTTCGGTTGTTTGCTGCTGCTGCTGCTACTGCAGTCGGTTGTAGGTTGTTGCGCGTGTGGCTATGCCAGAGAAAGAAGCGGACTTCCAAGCAGCGATGTCGGCCGGTCTGCCGCTTCAGTTTCCGTCGGCTTTCGCAGCCTTCCACGCGCCTCTTCCCGTCGACCAAAGGACCCACGAAGGACGATACGTCTGGGATCCTAGGATGCAGCCACCAGGAGCACCCTTTCATCCACCTGCACCTCCAGGGTAAGTCACACAGAAACAACAACATTATAAATTTCAGCAACATTCAACAAGGAAAATTATACTCATTTACAATACTTTAAGTAATATTTGCAACAATTCCACGAATAAACACTTGATAAATTTAGTTTATAAACTTTAAACAAAATTTGTTTGAATTCAAGTCTAAGTAAACCAAATTGAGAAAACACTAATTACAAAAGAATTCCCCAAAAACTATTAACAAAATAAATTGACTTATAATTAAAATTATTGCAAATGAAACACATTGAGACAATATGTTTAGAAATGAATAAGAAATAACTCTTTATGTTGTTAAATCGTCTAAAAAATGATTCTAAAAAATAATGTAATTAACTTATATATCTTAGGTAAGTTAAATTATTTGTTACAATAAAAATGTAATATATTCATTTTCTAAAATATGTAATAAAATTTATATCAAATGAATTATTTTATAAACCAAAAATATAAGATGAAATTTTATAATTTACATAGTTTAGGTATTATAAATTTCATAATAGTAATAAAATTGAATACAATTCAATAAACATTCATGACCAACACTTCATAAGATTGAAATCATCTTTATGTGTTGTAATTTATGGAAATATTCAATATTGGTAATTAATTACTGATTTTTCTCTGATTATGCGTGTATTCTTTAAACGGTCTCTGTTTTTTTTTAAGAACGTGGAAAAATGATGAAAAATAAATATACAAATTATGCGGAGATATACAAGAGTTGCAGTGATTGAAACGAGAAGTTAAACCGACTTAATTAAGACATGCGACTCGATCTTTTGACGTTTCCTGTTGTCACGCCTCTCTCAAAACACGCGTAAATATTTCGAAAATCCGTGACCGACGATGGAAAAAGTCTTGTTTGTGTTGTTTGTTCGTTCGTTTCTAACGCGCGCAAAACAGCAAATCAATTACCGCTCGTTCGTTCGTTCGTTCTCTTCCTCTCCTCAGTCGAAATAATTCAAGCCGTTTTAACGCCCGGAGAAACACGAGAATTACACATTCAATTATATTCTCAACTTTACACACAAACACGTCCAATTATGAATGAATGAATATAATTCAATTCGCTTTGAACGTGCCCCAATTAAAAAGAGTCTATGCACGTTCGTTTGTACACACTTGAGACAGGAAGTCCGTTTGTATGGTAACTCGTAAAGTTGGGAAGGTTTAAGGAAGAATCTTAGATCCAAATCTGGAAAAGCGGGAGTGAAGAAGAACAAACACACACTTAAGTCCAATTACCGCTGGACGAATTCCGTAATTAAAGGTTTCCGTTGCATTAGTACACTACTTCGGATCCATAATTCAACTGAATGAAGAGAAAAAAAAAACAAGGAAAGAAAGAACAAATCTATTTCCATTTCCAATAAAGGATTATCACAGCACAGTTGGAGAGGAAACAAAAATGAACTAGTAGTTTCCTTTTTAAGCGAAGCATCCATATGTGGGATTGAAAAACTAAACTAAAACAAAAGAGAAACGAAAATAAACAAAAGTTAATACATATTGGATTACTTAACGACTGTTAATGTTTGTTGTCGTCGGGCGACTTGATTTTTTTTTTCCTTTCCTTTCTCCCGGTGAAACTGAACTTGTCTTGTATTATTATGAACTTGCACTCGTAGTTTGTAGTTGTTATTACGAAATAACGAGTGATTTATTTAATTTTCCTCTGCGCTCCAACCAATTAACGAACTCAAAAGAACAAAGTACGTTTTGATATATATTTTTATACACTGAAAACATTACAAAAGCGAAACGCTTTTGTTCTCTTTTATTAGTGAGCGTAATTTAATTTAAAGAGCCAACAGATTTCTAATTAAGAAATAACACGAAGAAGTTTATGATTTATTGTTTCTTTTTATTATTACTTTTTTTTTTTGCCTCGTATACACTTAAACATTTATTTTACTGCCAGATTTCTTTATGCGAGATGAAGATTTCAGCTTGTAATAAACACTTCGTAAATCACCACATATTATTTTTTTTTTGGGGCGCTCACTTTTTAACTTTATTTCTACTTCATTTTTCTCCATAAATATTTGCCTTTTCTTGACTACTCTATTTTTGGATGTGAACTTAATTAGTTTCACGCTTACAAACTTAATTCATATATTTTATCCTTCAAGTAACAAACAGTTATTTTTGAAATAAGTTTTCTTTTGTCGAAAATTTTACAAAAGATTCCTTTTTCGTGAAACGTTTTAAAAATAAACACTCGAAAGCTGTTTTGCGCTCTTTGAGATTCATATTTTCGAAGCGGATTTTGTCTCGGAGATTAGGTTGAATCATTACGGAGATTTTGATACAAAAGGTATGTAAATATCTTTTTCTCGTCTTCGTAATTCCGACATTGTCCTCCATAATTCTTTCCTTCTTAAGCAGCAAAAGAGTTTCAACCACTTTTTTCTTTCCATCCTCAAAGCGGATTTCATCAAACGCACTTTACTTCTTCTTTATTTTTTTTCTGTTCTCTCGCGAACAATAGTCAAGGTTTTTCGTGAAAACCTCTTCTATTTATCTTTTTTTTTTGAAATCGAATAAATATTCCTTTCGAATTCTTCGCTAATGATGATCGCGTCATAACTGTTATTCTTTTTTTTTAGTGTTCTGTTCTTATTCGCTTTTCAAAACCAATTAAATGGTTGTTAACTTCAAGAACGACATAGTTTTATTTGCTTTTTGTTATATCTAATTTCAATTTCGCTTAATTTTTTTTTTTACTATTTCGTTACCAAATTGCGATTGAATCGTTAAGTATTAATTGTTATTTTACGGTTTATTTTAAGTACTCAGTTGCAATTTAGTCATTAACACTAAGAAATATTCGATTTTCTCTGAATTTATATTTCAATTGAAATATCTTTGTTAATAAGAAATACTTTGTATTCAATTCGACTTAATCTTAGGAATTAAAAAAAAAAGGATATTTTCTTTCTATTAAATCCCCACAATTATTACTTTTAATCCTTTTTAACAGAAAATAAATAAACTTTAGCCGAAATCCCTTTTCTCGAGTGTTTATTTTTTTGAAGCGGTTGAAAAAGGGTACAATATTTGAGCTTCCTGAAGGATTGGCAAAAACCATTGTGTCTATTCATGATGTGTGCAAAGGGATTAACAGAAACTTGCATTTTGGAAAGAACGAAATGTACAAGTTGTTAATCTAAGACTTGAGTTCAACGTTCTAATCTAAATCGTTGGAAGTATAATTTGGTGAGAGGTGAGAGAAAAAAAAATCGATGGTTAATTTGGTGTGAATTGGTAAATATTTTTGGTGATTAGTGGAGGAGTTTCGCTGGAGGAAAATTTCTACAAATATTTGAGGGCCTAATTTTCTGACCGTCTGGTGTTAAAAGTCGGGTGCGGATGGAGCGGAGGGAGAAAAATAAAAAAGGTTGGTGAAGAGATTGTGGATAAATAACGAGCGCCTCACTATTACCATCGTACACATATAATAAGCTTAAGTAAATTTGAGAGTCGTAAAATATAAATATTGTATTAAGCGGAAGGCGAGTTTACTTATCGCTCGTTTTGTGTGCGCTTCTCGCTTAGCACGAAACACGGTAGCTCCAGCACACACATCTTCTTTTCTATGTATTTATTTACACTTTGCTGCTACTCTACATTGTGTTAAAGATGAGTGTGGCGAAAATGTGTAAGAGAGTCGAATTGAAAGAAGTTTGTTTAGTTTGATGACGATTTATTAAGTGGAGGACGTTCGTTAGAGTCGACGGTCATCGAACGGTGATGCTGATGATGATGATGATGATATTAAATGGACGTGGATTTATAGCGATGGGAAAATCATAATAAGAAGTGTTTGTGTTATCCTCGGTGTTATCCTTTCGGGTATTTCATCACATGCATGTTGCCAGTCATACGGAGCCTCCCGATCATTTATTATCAGAAGGATTGTCCTGTCAATAACGGTCTTCGGATGGAAAAAGGCCGAAAAGCCCCCCAACTGATTGGGCTGGTTTTTGTCACGACGACGTCTCGACTCTCGTGTATATGTGTGTATTGTCGGACGCATTCCAGCCGACATGTCTATAGATCACTCGAAATGCCAGAAAGGCCAACAGCGAGACACACATTTTTACTCTCAACCTCCACTCTTCTCCTCTCTTCTTCGCTAGTCCGAGTCCGGGGCGGATGAAGCCATCCCCGAAACAAATCATAAAATTTCCCATTCAAAGAACGAGCAAAAATTCGGACTGACCCTCGAGTCCGAAATCCGCTGCGTTACGTGATTCGCATCACAACGTTGCATGAGTTAAGAAAGAAAGAAAAAAAATGGAGAGAAGGGAATGGGGGAGGGACAAAAGTTTCCCGAAAGCGCATTCATCCGATCTCTCTATATAGGAAAGTATAATGTCGATCGGGTGGATGGATGCATGGAAAGAAAGAATGAAAGAAGGAACACCCCAAATACAGAGACGGGTTTTCTCCGAAATTCATATCGCTTCAAAAGGGATTAAAACCAATAACAGCTCAAGACGGAAACAGCGACAACAAAAAAAGGATCACCACATTTGAAAGGCTAATTGGATTAACAACATCTTTAAAGACCGCTACGTTTCGACAAAGAGAGAAAAAAAAACAAACATTCCGCAAAAACTTATTGGAATATTGAGACAATTTCAACAATTTTTATTTGCATTATTATTAAGTAATCACAATCACAATCTTCAGATAATTAAACTTTATAACTGAAGTAATAATAATTTCTTAATTAATATTAAAAAATTATGAATTTAATAACATATTCAAAATTAATCTATTACTTCTTTCTTTGTTGTAAAATCGAAACAGGATTCGGTTGTTCGATAATTCGAAATCAGGTATAATGACCCCGCGGCTAAACTAATCACCCTTAATTCGATTAAAAATTAGAATAGTCTTCGGTGATTACCGAAAAGAAAAAAGAAGTTAATTAGATGAACACCGGACGGAGATAATGTATATAATGCGAG